AAGCGTCAAGGCGCGCGAGCGTCAGGCGGGACGCGGTCGGAATTGTTTCCGGATACGCTATTGTTCGTCGTTCGGAGTCCGGAGTCCTCATCGGCTTTAATCTATTTATTTATCCTGGTTTTCCTTGCTGGTTTAAAGGCGCTCGTTGTCACCGTTATCTTACGCTCTGTATGCGTTCGCGATCGTAGGTATTAGCGGCGTAGCGTGAGGAGGAAAAAGGATGTCGACGTCGCGTATCCACTTCGGTCGACGGAAGGCTCTCTAGGCTCTCTAGGAATTGCGAGTTCTGGTCGGTCGTGCGCCTGAGAGGAGCTTTCCGATCAATCTCTCTCGATATCAATTTTCTGTCGGCTTTTATACTAAATTCTAACAAACAGTTCGACTGTTTGTTGACCTTGCGGTTATTCCGCGCGCGGTTGTTCGGCGTTTTGTTAGTCTCGTGATTATTGTTTTGGCCGTCGTGACGAATCTCGAATCGTCACATTGTTATTAAATGTTTATATGCGTTTTATATAAATTTTTATTTGTGCTATATATAAAGAAAACGTTATAGGTACATACAAAACCTTTAATTGTTAATAATTTTTTAATAAAAAAACATCAATTAAAACTTTTTTTAAATGGTAACATGCTCTTGACAACATACGAGGTATCACTTAATACACATAATTACTGATTTGGATTTTGTGAACAGAAAAAAAGAAAAGAAAAAGGAAATAGGAATGCAGAAATTGGAAACCTATTTTTCTCATATCTTACGTTTCATAGCCTTTAGGTATATTTCAATCTCTTTACCTTCCCAATGTTGATTTTTTATTTTTAACAAAAATCTGAAATAAATAATGATATTTCAATTTAAAATATAAATATAATATATATAAAATATAAATATAAAATATAAATATAATATACAGACATTTTGATGTGTTTCCCTCTTATTACAAGAATCGCGCGCATCGAATTTTGTTAAGAAAATTCATCTCTAGTCATATTTAATGATTGATTTACAAGACTTACTTCTTTTGAATCTCTTGTAATAATGCCTTCTCCTTCTCCGTAATGCCGTTACGTAACACGTCCATATTTATTTCCAGCTGTTTCATGGTTTGCATTCCGACTAAGTTGGTATCTGTATCCGTGTATTGCAGCGAATGCCATATCGCCAATTTAGAAAGCTCCACATCTTGATCCTATATCGATATTTCATAACATTAGCTTTATCAAAACAATGACTAATTATTTGAAATCACATACAGTATGGTCCAAACGTCGACTAAGGTAAAAGTACTACAAAAAAATCTGAATACCAGCAATCTTGGCATCCAATTCTGGATATTATTATTATTTTGATTTTTAAATACAGATATTTAAACTTTAAACAGAATATATATATATATATATATATATATATATATATATATATTCTATGTTGAAAGAGGGGTATTTTTTTCACCGAAAAAAAAAACGAATACAAAGACAGTTTGATAGATTTTGATTTTGAAAAAACTTCGCTTATTTTGAGCTATCCGTGTCCAGTCATCAATCATATATAACTTTGTAGATAATAATAGTAGTATTTAAGAAAAAATAATTTTAGATTCTCAAGTAGATGATTCGAAAGTAGTTCTCACCTCCTAATAATGTTATTTTATTCATTCAATGGCTCATCATCAGAGATGTCTAACATAACAAATATGTCTACTATGCTTAGAAAGTATCCATATATCATTAGAAAGGTATTTAGCATATCCTAGATACCAAATAATATGGGCACAGCAGCCTACACTACGAGCACCATTCTTACATATGCAATAATATTCTTTAGTAGAATCTTTTTTTTTAACATTTGTTACTGCCGTCATCACAAAAAGGTGCCTTGGATGCAAAAAGAAACCTTAAGGAAAAAAATCATTAGTTAATTAAAAGCGCGAAAACATCGTAAAAATAAATAATAAACGTGTTGGGCAGATCTGATGATAAACTGTCGAACGAATAAAATAATATCATTAAGAAGTCAGAACTACTTTCGACGAGGGTTTGAAGATCTAAAACTATTTTTTCTTAAATATTACCATCATTACCTATAATATTATATATGATTGATATGACTGGAGGCGGATGTCCCAAAAACTTCTATGAAAATGGGCGAAAGTCCTTTGCAGAAAAAGTTGTTTGAAATTTCCGATCCCATGGCATCTGAGCCAAATTCTCATGACAGATTTTCTTCTTTTGTTCCAAACAATATTTTTTGCAATTTTCATCAAAATCCATGAAATTGTCTTCATGTTCGTTTTTTTCGGCGAAAGAAATACGTTTCTTTAAATATTCGAATTTAAAGATCAAAACATTAAGAATGTGTAGAGTTAGGTATCAATGTTATTACAGTGCCCAGGTATTGATACTTTTATTTCATCATTTAAAATTTCCTCAGTTTTTAGTACAATCTGTAAAAAATTGTAAACATATATTACTTATAAAGAAAGTCATGAATTTTTCAAATCAATAACCGACTTTTAGACCATCCTGTTTTTTTCATAGTCAGTAATATCGTAATAAACGACAAGATTAGACGGCAGTAGAGAGTAATATTACTTTATAATTTTCCATTTAACAATATAACTATTACATACAATAAATGTTATGATGTACTTACATTGTTAAGTAAAAAATTAGAACATTGAAGTAATAAGTATCGCAAAAATGTAATTGAAGAAAAATTAGTTAATATTTAATGTATAAACGATTTCGACAGTTTAAGTATTAAACGATTTCGACAGTTTATCCAGATATGCTTAGGAACGAAACACGCAACCATTGTCACAGGCTTATGGGTTTTCAGTTGCTGCTGTAACTAATCACTATGTAAGCCTATGAGTACTGGTTCGTATATTAAGATTGTAAACATCCTTTTTGAGGAAATTTTACTCGATACTCCATAGTATATATAATGTGTATATATAATATAGATATTGAGTAAAATTTTCTTCAAAAAAGACGTTTTAGAATGTAATTCAAAATTATCGTGTTTTGTTTCTAATATATCTGGACAAACTGTCTAAACTATTTTGCAATAGAATGTACACAGAATATAACGCGCGTTTTAAGTGGAAAATATTTATATTATTACACTCGATAGAGATATATTTTATCTTAAAAACGCGCCTTGCAATATTGTGCAGCATTTGTACATTGCCTCTTCGTTTCATCACTAGCAGGATGCCAATTTGGTGGACCATTATTCGTTAAAGCGCCCATACATGGTAACGCAGCATTAATCACACCAATGTTACGTTCCTAAAACAGGTACAGAAAGTGTTAAATTTCACAGTTAATGAACTTTCACTATCGAGAAAGATACACATCACTACTTAGATACCACAAAATCTTCAGAGAATGTTCTAAGACGTTTTTAGGATGTATGAATGTCCTTAGAATGTTTTTAGAACGTCCTTTGAAGATTTGTGCTATATGGGTATACGCTATGCGAATTGCTTGAACCTTGAAAAACGGGATGTATTCTAGCAGAGTATCGTCGATCAAAGTGAGCCTTGTATAGGTTAATACGCATGATATATTAATGTTGCTCTTCTCGACACACTCTTTCAACACAGACACCGGATATCCGGTAATGCCGATATATCTGGCCTTGCCATTGGCTACTTGTCTCGATAATTCCGGCAAGGTTTGTGTGAATATTATGTCTAACGATGGTGCAAACTCGATATCGTGGACCTGCAAAATTTATTATGAGAAAGAAATATTTTTGTGGATTTTGGTGGGAAATTGATCGATTCAATATTATATTTCATCTCACCTGAATAACATCGACATAATTCACACCTAATAATTTCAAACTCTTCTCAAAACTTTTTCTAATTTTCTCAGTCGTGAAATTGAACATATTCTCATAATCTAGTTCGTATCTGCCGACCTTTGTCGCGATGTAGTAAGCTTGTCGTGGAATCCCTTTTAACGCCTGCGACATAAAATTTTGATTTTTTATTAATTGTACGGTGTAAAATGCGAGATATTCTATATACAAATTTCTTAAAGATGTTCTTAGAACAGTCAGATAGACATCTGTACAGATGGCGATAGGTGTAGTAATTAAAATAAAAAAATTAGAATGTATATACATAAAGTAAACTAGGATATTATGGCTATACCGGAAAGATGGCCACATAGGCTGCAATTTCTCTAATAATTGCAAAACATTGCGTTTATGTAATCAGTCACAAAGATAATCGACATTTATCGTAGTGTATGTGCGTACATTTTTCGAAATAACAAGATTATGAATATTATACTATATTTTTATTTTTGACTACCTGTAAAATTTCTCACGTATCCAAGCTAAAACTTGCTATAACGTCGAATAAATTACGTTCAGCTATCGCAATCAATATTAGATACATAAAGTAGGTATGTAAATTGCAATATAATATGCATTTTTATTTTCGTTTTCACTATTTGTTTATAAGTACAATTATAACCGTCTTTCACTCACGTTTTTGGGTAAGATGGCCCACTATCTTTCTAATATTTATAAAACGACCCGGAAAAAAAAGTTTACATATGAATTTTGGCCATATATGGTTATATATAATCATATATAATTATATATGTCGATATTGAAAAGAATACTATTGTGAAGATATATTAGGTGAAGTAAAAAGTTCTGAGCGTTTTCCGCTAGATGTCTTTAGTGAGCCATATCTCACGATGTATACATCGCATCGGGTCATACTATACGGCGATTTAAAGGTGACATTACGCTTCAAAAAAAGTTCTGTGACAGTTTTGTGTTTGGTAAGCCAGTTGTGTATTACAGCGTTCCAAAATGGAGGTAAAACAAGAGAAAATTCGATACATTCTTTAGTACCACTACGACCAAGGTGAAAAGGCGGAGCAGGCGGCCAAAAAAATT